CACCATGTGGGTGCTGGGAATCAAACCCAGGTCCTCTGCAAGAGCAATCAGTGCTCTTAACCAATGAGCCATCTCTCCAGCCCCCTGTTTTGAGTTTTTAAAGTAGGGCTTCCCTTTGTAGCCCCAGCCTGGCCTCAAAAGTCATAATCCAGCCTCAGCCTCTCTAGTGCTGAGACTCCAGGCTGGCACCACCACGCCCGGCAGGAGCCGCTTTGTTCTTCCTGCAGGGCTGCAGGGCTGCCGTTTGTTTTGGAACAGCAAATAGATCCACTTTTCCTTGGATCAGAGCAGAGAAGAAACAGGCTGGATGGAGACTACTGGATGAGTGGGTGGCCCTGTCTGGGAACCGGAAAGCCTCCCAATGCAGGGCCTTTTGGGTACATCAGGACCAATTCCTCATGGTATGGATTGGTCACTAAGGCCTGGAGGTAGGTGAGAAATTTCCTGGAATAGCTAGCACACAAGCCTCCCAGTTGGCTTTATTATGCCTCAGTTTCTCTACCTATATTGGCCACAGTATGTTTACAACCGTATGACACGCCAGAAAGCATGTTTACGTTGACACCTCAAGGTGGCCATCTAAAGAGGAGGTAGTACTGTTCCTTGTGTTTTCTGGTGCAGTGAGTGGGGCTATCCACAATAAGTCCCCAGCCTTTCCTGAGCCTACCACCTCTAGTTCTGGGCTCCCAGTGCAGAGGGAGGGCACCAGAGGCAGGCGGCTGAGAATACTGGACTTTGGGAGAAGGAAGCCTTGTCCCAAGCTCTTTGAATTCTTGCAAGAAGAGGGACAAGTCCCTGTGTCTCACATCACACCAGAGACCATCTTTCCGGAGTTACCAGCCATTTCTGTGGCTTCCCCATATCCCAATCACCCACCCCCACTGCCACTTAGTAAAAGATGTCAGCCAGCAAGGATGACCTCTGCCCATCTGGATCCCTCACTTGCTGCAGGTAATTAGTGCCTGGATGACCTTGGGCCACCAGAGCACTTCCGAGATGAACTGGTGAGCTGGGAGTGAAGTCTGGTTCCCTAACCATAGGGTGGTCACAGTTGGGCTAGGAAGGAGCCTGACTTGGAATGCACAGATTTTGAGTTTCCTTCCTGTAGCCTAAGGAAAACTTTTTTTCCCACCTCCTGATGCAAAGCAATAAGGAGAGCCAGTGAGATAAGGTACTGATACAGACCAGAAAGGTGGGCTCAGCAGATACAGGCAATTGCTGCCAAGCCAGATAACCTGTGTTCATTCCCTAGGACCTACAGGGAGAAAAGAGAACCAACTCCTATAAGTTGTTTTCAGACCTCCATACATGCCCACACATAAATAAATAAAAATGTAATAAAAAAGAAACAGGATCCAAGCATAGTGACACACCTTTAATCCCAGTGCTCAGAAGGCTGAGGCAGGTGGGCAAGCAGATCTCAGATTCAGGCCAGCCTGGTCTACATAGCAAGTTCCAGGCCAGCTAGGGCTACAAGGAAACACTGTCTCAAAAAAAAGAAGAGAAAACCCAAACAAGGCTGGGGGTTCTGGGAGTGTAGCTCAGTGGTAGTGCATTCGACTAGCATGCACAAGGCCCTGGGTTTGATTTCTTAACAAAAACAAGCAGGACACAGCAATCTGTATTTGGATTCCAGGTACCTAGCCTGCTCTGCTTCCTTACCATAGTCTACCCCCCCCCATGCCTCTGTTTTCTCCACCTGTGAACATGAGTGTAGTACGCGTTTCACAGCAGCACCAGGTGAGGGAGGCCAGGTTAAATGGAGCCAGTCAGTGCTTATTAGCACATCCTGAACACTTAGGAAATGGAAGTTATCATTGGCCAGGAAGGCCTCTGGAGAGCTCTGAAGTCACCATGGGCAGTCAAGCCAGAGGTATTATTTTGCACACACCCAGAGTAGGAGGATTCTACAGCTCACAGCTCCTCAGGTCAAACAACCAGAATGTGTATGGGGTAAACATCTATCACGTCCAGCTGGCCAAACCACCCTGGAGTAAACACCTATGTGCCACCCTCCCAGGGTCCCAGGTAGCCTAAGCTCTATGTAAGTCTAGAGGCCCAATCCTGATGAGCTTGCTGGTTTCAGTACTGATGTTAATTAGCTCGTTAATGTAGGTTACATCAGTGGAAGGGAACCCACTGTGAAATCAACCTAAGTGAGGCTTGTTCTCCAAGTGACAGGACCATCTCCAACCTTTTCAGAAACCCTCAATGGCTCTTTTTGCCTCTGAGATAAACAGTCCGGTACACAAAGGCCTGTCTAGGCACTCTTGCCAGCACAGTGTATCCTAATGCCTAAGGTCATTTCATAGATATCTTCAGGGTGTGTATGGAGTTCAGAGACCAGCGGTTCCAGTGGTTTCTTAATTTCTTGTCCTGTTGCTGTGATAAAATACTCTGACAAAAGTAAACACAGTCTCTCTTCCCCTCCCATGAGGCTATTGTAAAGACACTAAAGATGACAGGGCCACTGAGCCAAGGGAGCTGGGCCCCTCTGTGACTTTGTAGAGCAAGGACTTGCCCTTCTACCAGCCGGCAGCAGATTGTGACAGGAACAAGAGACACTTGTTTGAGCTTTGTTTAGCATCACTTCCTGTTGCTGTGTTAAAATACTCTTGACAAAAGCAGTTTAAGGGAGAAAGGGTTTATTTGAGCTCTCTGTTCAAGGTGTAGTCTATGGGGGGGGGGTGTCGAAGCATTGGGAGCTTGAAGCACCTGGGCATATCACACCCATAATCAGGAAGCAGGTACAGAGAGTACATGCAAGTGCTCAGCTAGCATTCCTATTCCCTTCCCAAGGAATGATGCTGCCCACAATTAAAATGGGTCTTCCCACATCAGCATCATCAAGACAGTCCCCAACAGGCACATCCAGGTCCCTTGGCCCAAGTGATTCTATATTCTGTCAAGCTGACAACGCTAACCATCACAGGCTGTAATGGACACAAGGCCACTTCTGGCTTCAGAGCTGAGTGGTGAGGCCAGCTGTGGGCTTTCCATGTGCCAGCTCCATATGACAAAGCCACCCGTGTCACCTGTGTCCTACCAGCCACAGGATGCAGGGCTGTGACAAGGGGATTCCCATTCAACAGGTCCCAAGTGCTGCAATTAAAGACATGCACCACCACATCTGCCTTCACTGAGAATCTGAGTACACCCTGTTGGGCTGTAATGCTCATGCATGTGAACACTGGGCACCACTGCCTCCTGTCACAGCCCTAGAGGAGGTAGTGCTTGAACTTATTACCAGGGTCCTCCAAAGAAACCCTCCAAAAGAAACATGTCCGAATCCGTATCAGACCAAAACTTCATCTTTAATCCCTATAAGCAGCCCCCTCCCTAAAACCTTTATTGGGCTAAGTCACTAAAGGATCTAGGAAGGAGAAATAGCAGCTGTGGACAACCAATGTGCTTAGTCACCCAAAAGCTTGGTTTTCACAGGCTGTGACTCCCACAGGGCTAGGAGTCAGGCCCATGGCCCAAGGCTAGCAGGTGCATGACAAGGCCTAGGTTTACAGGGGAACTGATTTTCTGGTATCCTGAGCAGTCAGAGACTAAAGTTAATTAAGGGCCTTTAAATCTATGCCTTCAAGGAGATCTTCCTTGTCATCACACCCGCAAGTTCTGTTTGACCCTTAAAGACTATTAAGAGAGCTGAGGGAGGAGTGGTCAACCCTGGACTTGTGAATGACCATCTAGACTTGGCTAGAAGTCCAGTGCACTCTCCATTCACCACAGAGCCCATTGCTAGGGTTTTTGTTGGCTCACCTATGCCTATAACTCTCCTTTTAGCTTCCTTTAGTGCTGTTGGGCTTTGTTAAATTCTGCTCCAAGCCGGTGTGGTAGCTCATCTGTCATTCCCAGCACTCAGTGACTCAGGGGCCTGAGGTAGATGGAATACATCATGTTCAAAGCCAGCCTGGGCTGAGGTCCAGATCAGTGTGGCTAGAGTAAGACCCAGTCTCCAAAAACAAAAACAAACAAAAATCAGGACAGACAAGATGGCTCAAGGATAAAGGAGCTTGCTGCGAAGCCTGACATGAGTTCGATCCCCAGAGCCCGTATGGTGTAGGAAGAGAACGCACTCTGTCCTCTGACCACACACACCCAATGTGGCACGCGCATACGTACAATAAACAAATGTAAAAAATAAACGAAAAAGAATAGATAAAATAAATAAATTCTGCTTGGGTTTCAGCTGAGGTTCCAGATTCTCGCAAGACAGTGTGGGCAGGAATTGTCTCTCTGGGTCCGGCTGCCCGGAGACAGTCCAGCAGCAGGACTGCACCCTCACTGAGCCAGGGACTCTGCAGCACCGTAGAGCTAGGCTATGCGGACTACAACTTCCAGCAGGCCTCGCGGCTCAGCCTACAGCTCCCAGCGCGCTCCGCGGAGGCGGCGGTAGTGGCGCCCGGGGCCGGCGGGGCTGGGCGGCGTAGGGCGCGCTGGGGCTGGGCTGCGCTGAGCCGGGTGCTCGCAGGTTCTCTTGCCGCGACG